ATGCAATCAGAGCTCCTTAAAATACAGAGAGGTGACAAGGCAAACAGAGAATCAGAGCGGAGTGTGAGAGAGACTCCACCAGCCACACCTGGCTTTGAAGATGAAGAAATAGGAAAATGAGCCAAAGAATACAGGTGGATTCTGGAAGCTGGAAAAGGCAAGAAAGTGGATTTCCCCCCTAGAGTTTCCAGAAGGAGCACAGCCCTGACCACACTTCGAATTTTAGCTCAGTGAAACCCACTTCGAACATCTGACCTCTAGAACTGTGAGATAATAAATTTGTTTCAACCTGCTAAGTATTTGGTTATTTGTTAGAGCAGCCCAGTAAAACTAATACAATAGTACTTTGTCATTTTCCATTGTACCCAATATGATGTCACACAGACCACATTCAAAATTTAATGAAAATTAATAAGATACTTAGGATTTGTCACTTTCTGGCTTTTTACATGCTATGAAATTCAGTCTGATGTGTTCATTCATAATATTTCTGAATATCTGAGATTTATTTAAGAATATGTAGAATAATATGAGACCTTTTATTTGGGACTAGGAGTTGCAACAGAGAAAAATTACTTTTCCAGTAAATCAATGGACTCGATGAGTCTGTTTATTTTGCCATCAGCCCAATTGCCTTTCTGTTCTCCAGCAGTCTACTAGAAAAGCTCGATTATTGACAATGGCACAGATCCTTCTCTTTCTTCAGTGGCTGCTGGCTTAGCCTCTTCTGCCCTGTCAACTCCCTGGGGCTTGATATGCACAAATTGTGCAGCCCATCTAGGACTCCACTGGGTACAGAGTTAACTGGCTGAGGCAGGCAGGCTAAATACTTCAGTTAGCTCCTTCTGTGCATTAAAATTTCCATACACTCAATGCTTTTTAGTTTACAAAGTGTGTGATTTCATTTAATCTTCACAATAACTTGGTGGAGGAGGTATTATTGCCTTCATTTTACAGTTGAGAAAACTGAAAGTTAAGGGGAGTTTATGGGTAGTAAATGACAGAAAGGAGATTTGAACAAAAATCTCTTAATTCCTAATTCAGTTAAAAAACTAATGCAATTTTACTATGTACAGCTGTTCTTGCCATTTTACCTCAGTGCCTTTACTCCAGACATGTATTTTGCAAGTGTATTTTTAATGATAACATTAACTTATGCATGTTATAAAGTAATGTGGAAAACACAGAGAAGTATGAAGTTTTAAATCATCCTTAATCCTACTACTCAAAGATAACCACAGTTACTGTTTGAGTGTACTCCTTTCCAAATATTTTTCTGTGCATTCATCCAAGTATATTTCTTTCGACATGTATTTTTATTTAGAGTTTTGCATCCCATTCCATTTTTATTATTCTGAGTGAAGTGAGGTGGCATTCTAGCCTTATGTTATTGGGTTGGCCAAAAAGTTCATTTGGTTAGTCAGTGTGTTTCTCCATAAAATTCTTCATGAAAATGAAAAATGTGTCTTTTATTTTTACTTAAAACAGAACAAAATTTTTGGCCAACCCAGTGTTTACAACTGTACTGTATTGCCTTTCAGTGACCTATTTTTCCTATTTATACTAAAATATAAATAAAGAATTAGTCCACCCTTCTTGAGTTAACCTTTTTTTTTCAAGACTAGAGCCATGCTTCTCAACATGTAGTCAGGACCAGGAGCATCAGCATCACTGGGGAGCTTGTTAGAACTGCAGATTCTCTACTGAGTCAGAGTGTTCGGGGTGAGACCCAGGAATCCCTGTCTTAACAAGCTCTCCAGGTGATGTTTCACACATGATAAAGTTTGGACTAAAGTTTTGGTTTTCCATTTGTGTTGATGAGGCAAAAGCAGCTAATAAACCCGTTATAGGTTAAAGACAAGCAGAATAATTGTCACACTTCGAAGAAAAAGAAAGAGCTTCTTGCTTACCCAGATTTCCCTCATCCACGTGCTGTCAAATCTACTCTTAATCAATTACTTGGGTTAAAGTCCACAGACCTCTTTAAAATGGTTATATGCTTACTTAGAAATGCAGTAGTTACCTATACTTACTATCATCCAATTGTGCTTTCATTTGCATATACTTCTCCTAGTGAGCCAACTAATCATTTATCAAAATCAGAACAGGATGAAGGGTAGGCACATTTTAAGTTTCATTCTGACAGCTTTTCTTAAACATCTACCATGCTAGATCAATATAAAGTGGAAAAGAAAAATATGTTTTCTACACCCTGCCCTCACGACAATTCACAATCTTGTTAGGAAATAAAATTTTCCTATATGGTTTAATTAACAGCGGTCAATCAAGTCCTAAATTGACTAGTATTACAGTATGTGAGACGAGCAGTGTATGCCCTGGACTATACAGAAAGCTGGACGTATTTATTAGGGAAGGTCTGCTTAAGAAAGGAGGAATGTCAGTGGTGCCTAAATAATAATTATTATATTAACGATAAACAGTCCACCTATTAACTACTATACCTGTGATACCTATTCCCCAGACAAGGATGAATGAGATTAGGTATCTTTGTCAATGTTATATAAATAGTACTTCGTGGAGTCAGGATTTAAACTCAGATCTGTTTGACAGGAACCCTGTTTCTTACCACTTCTGCCTTCCTAGTTAGCTCTGACTGAGAAGTTTTACGGATTGAGAAAGAGGCCTGTAGAAAACCACAAGTAGAGGAGGCAACCCCAGAAAGGGTGAGCGTGAGTTAAACAAGTTCCTGTGTCAGATTCACCTGAGCAGAGAGCAAGGTTGATACTGGCGAGTTGCTAAAACCAAAAGACATCTGTAAGGATTATGGAAGGTCTTGCATGCTTAGATGGTGATCTGGGATATGCAGTCAGAGATACTGAAGAGCCATTACACATTTTTTAAACATAATTACACATTTTCAATTATGTTTTTTAAACATAATTTTTTGAAACATAATGAAAGTAATGTTTTAGGATATTGCATAAAAAAGCATAATTGGGTGGGAAGTGAAGAGATATTTGGGTAGAACAATCAATTAATAGGTTGATTGTTGTAAGTCAGATACCAGATGATAAGGAAAATGACTGGGGTGCTGGCAGTGGGGAAAGAGAATGATTATTAAATATTAGAAAACAAAGGTGAAAGTTTCTAATGGTAGATTGGCTGAAGGGACAGTTGGAAAACCTAAGAATTTGAACGTGGCGTTCTGGGTGATTTTGAACTGTACACAGAAGTTGTAATAATCTGAAGAAGGATTGTCAAAAATTGATAAGGCAGTTGGTTTTTTTCAGAGACTGAGTTTAAGTCATTCTTTCTTGCTTCCTAACTACATCCACCCACCTAAGTCTCCATGTTCTGTTGATCTTAAATCCCATCTACTTTATGCTGCCTTGTTTGCTTTATCCTTTCTCATAATCTTCTATACCTCTGGCCATCTTTCAATAGGCCTATAGGCCTATTGCTATAGCAATGACAACCAACATGCTCTCATTACTCACTTCTCTAAGAGCTATTGTTTTGCTACAAGGAACTTCATTTCTAAAACCTACGTCAAATTATGGCATCTTTCTGCTGAAAGTTAAAAAATATTTCTTCAGTCTTTTATTGCATTATTTTATTTATGGCATTCAGAATTAGAGTAACCATAGTTTATTATCCAAATAAGACAACTGGGAGATTGAAAGTGGCATATTAATAATTACACTCAGACAAAAGGTGTATGGGCTGTGCTTAACTTTCTAGCCACATCCTCTTCTGACAGCACTTTTTGCATGAGCAGTGCACGAGTACTGAGTGAACAGTCCCTACTCCAGAGGTCCCCAATCTGTGTTGGTCACAGCTGTGCTTGTGTTGCCTAATCTACTGCTCACATCATATGGGCTCAATAACTATTTGCAGAAGGAAGGAAGTGGGAAGCAAGCCTTGAGTAAATCAAAGAGTTTATGAACTGTTTTAGTCTAGTGTGTTGTGTTTGTTGAAATGAAACAGAATTTAAGGTCTAGCACCCTTGGGAAGAGGAAACCATGGAAAGCCAAAGGGAAGCACAGAGAACATGGGAGAGGAAAGTAGAAAAGGGAAGTCCCAGAATCAGACCTCCTACTTCAGAGCTTAGCAAAGGACAGATGCTAGGAGTATTGAATTCAAGGGCACTTTACCAAAAGACTCTGCTCATCAGACAGATTTTTTACCAGAAATAGTTCTTAGTTTTGTAAAGAGGTCTGTCAAATTCATCATATATGTCAATGCAGGGCTATTAAAAGGAAGTTTTCACAATAGTGTTTTAGAAGTTCCAGCTATAAAGGAGGTATGTAAATGTCCATTTTGCACTTCTGAAAACAGGTGCAGTCTCTATGAGAAAAGAAAATGTGTTAGGAGAATGGGAACAAAAAGGAAAATGATGAAAAAGAACCTACAATCTAATTACATAAATGTCAGTTTTCTACAAAAACTAGATTTGATGTAATTAAAGCACACCTGTAACAAATAAAATGAAACAGACATATCTTTCCATTTTCCTGAAATAAAGGAAGATTAGAAATCACGTGGTATTTGTGGGAGATTTATACTAAATATGAAAAAAAAAAGTGCCCCTGTGTGTGTATGCATGAGAGAGAGAGAGAGAGAGAGATTTTCTCTGATCTCTTAGCTGATAGCCCAACAGTACAGCCAATATTCATGGCCTTTCAGTAAAGCCCCTTACAGTAAGGAGATGATATCTATAAATAAGTATAAATTAAATAGTTTTCAATGATCATGAGCACCTGTGAAACAAACATTACATTTGTTTAACAATGTATTGATTGTTTTAGACCTTTCCCCAACTAAAGCCATAGCAGGAACTTACTATCTTTGTTAGGTCAGAACCAATGCTTATAGACTAAAACTCAGATTATGAGTTTAAATGTAGAGAAAAGAGTGCTCTTTCTAACAAGAGGATACTCTCCTAAACAGTGGTTTGATAGCATTTGATCTGTTACTGGGGCATTTATCTGGAGAGACATTTTTTGGGTGCTGTGCTCACATAGGATGTTTCGTTCCAGCCATCTATGAGCCTTCCTGTGAAGCCTACAAACACCTAGGACAGACATCAAATTACTACTGGATAGATCCTGATGGCAGTGGACCTCTGGGGCCTCTGAAAGTTTACTGCAACATGACAGGTAACTATGCCATATTTATGTTTCATGAAGATTGCTTTTTTGTATGTTGAGAATAAATAGCACCACTAAAGTTTGTTTCTTCTGTGCTGTATTCTTATCATAATGTGTAATAAGCTAAATATTGCTGGCTTTGTTAGGCTAAATGGTGAAATGTATTTCAATGCTAGGTTTTCAAAAAAAGTCTACCTTCTGATTTGAACGGTTAATAATTAGTGTTTAAAAAAATCAGCATGTAGAGGAAAACCTAGAAAGTAAAATTGCAAGGTTGAAGTCCACAGCAAGAACTAGCCCATGAAGCATCCTCCACGAGACCCTAGACTGGGGAAGGTTAGTATCACCTCTCAAACCATCCACACTGCCCACGTGAAAGGAAGCTCAGAGGTCACCCCAAACCTTCCTCTGCTTGCCATGGTTATACAAGGAGCCGTTCTGGGTACTGAAAGCCCATTCTGGCACTAGCAAAACTTACCTGCCACTTTCATGTAATTTTTCTGGGGAAGAGAGCCTAGTTTTTCTTTACTTCCATATTAAATTTCAGGGCTATGAAATGAGATTGTGGGTTCCCACAGTCATATGTAAGATGTACAGATTTGTAAGATAAGAGCACATCTTCCATCAGACACTTGGTAGCATCTTGCCCTCCAAAAATCTGGAGAAGTGTGTGGGGCGAGCACTGTTTACTAGCTCCAGGAGAGGATCAGCATTTGATATGAACTCCTGAGGCATATGATAAGGAAAATGGTTATATGATGCTACTGATGATGATTGCTGCATGGATGGTTTACCATGTATCGGGTACCACAAAAACTACTTTATTCAGATAACCTGGGTTTATATTCTGGCTCTGTTAATCACCAGATATATAATCTTGGGCAACTTATTAACTGTATTAACTTCAATAAGGCTCGGTGTGTTTTTCTTTGAAATTGATTAATAATAATATCTACCTCATAGCATTATTGTATGAATGAAATAAGGTAATCTACATGTGGTTCTTAGCATATTGTCTGACACATAATAAACTTTCAGAAAAGGTTGCCAGGAGTAAGGTATAATTATTTTTTAAAGGAGTTAGAGAGTTAAATAACTCGCTTATATTATTCAGGCAAAATTCAAATTCCAATATGTTTGAGGCCAATGGTTCTTAAATCCAGCTATGCTTCAGAAACATTTATGGAGTTTTGTCTTCCCATACAAACCTGTTGGCTCCATCTCAGGAGACTGACTCAGTAGGTGTGAAGTGCAAATAGGATTGTGCGCCTAGAACTAAGAGCCCTAAACAGTGCTGCAGACAAGTAGACCCCTGTGGAGAACTCGGCAACATCAGGAAGACAGACATGGCACAGAACGGAAGGGAGAATGATGAGGTGTGGAAGGTGGGTAGAGAAAATGGTAAAGTGAGAGCTACTGTCCCCAAATTTCCCCCCCATGTCAAGACTCTAAGTGTGTCCCAGAGAAATAATTCACTTAGCAGAAAGCTTGACCTAAGAGTTCATTGATTGTTGGACTTGTCAATGCACTCAGGTACTTTCTTCTTTACCTTCATTCTAATCTTGCTTCAACTGAAGTAGAATCCATGAGAACTAGACTTAATGCAAAAGACGCTTGATGTTGATTTCTCAAAACTATTGTCAGTTATTAACCTTAAGGGAAATCAGGGCATCCTGAATGGGCTTGGACAATTAAGAAGTTACTTTAGTTACTTTCCTATATGCCTTTTCAGAAAAGAACTAGAAAACTAAACAAAACCATAATGTATACAATCCTCATATGAAGAACACGCAAAATGGAAGAGAATTTTTTCCTTTTCTGGGGGGGAGAGATCACTTTTCTGTGAATTGAAGGCCTTATGTGGAAACACAGATCTCCTCTTCATCAATACCTCCTTTAAAGAGTATGACTATAGTTTGACCTAATCCTCTAGATTCAGTCTAAGTGGTGAAAAGAACAGCATGATTTCTGCAGCTAGAAGATTTTTTTTCTATCGTCAAGATAGTTATGAGCACCAGTGTTTCAGGGACACTTGAAGGCCATCAGGTACTCTTTGGCCTTTTGCAACCCATTAACCCTTCCTTCATCTGGAAAGAGTATGAACTTGACCCATTAGGAAAACATGGCACCACAGAGCTTGGCTTGGGCTGTTGCTTTTCCAAGAGATACATGTTGAAGAAGAGGAAGGAGTGACAGCATGAGATAGTCTATGAATCTTGAGATATCACTCTGTGGTCATGAGAAATTGTATATGCACCTAAATTCACAACATTTGTATTAAAGAATAGAGCTGTCCCACTTCTTAGTGACCCAAATGTAATGGAGTGTTTATCACTGTTGAATACATCACATATTTTTTAAATGGGAGCAAAATACCCTCTCTGGAGAAGCAGCAATGTCTTGGCAGTGATCAGTCTCTTTTTCCTTCTTCTTACTAAGATGAGGGAGAGTTTTTCACTTGTACAGACATAGTGAATATATGAGTCTTGATTTTGGTTTCTCGACACTGAAGAAACTTTACTGGCAGGTAATATCTGATGTAAATTTGGGTAGAAATGAAAAATCACTCTGCTGGAAATCACTTCTGATTTATAATTATTCTTTGGAATACTAAACTTTAAATTCACTTACTAATTAAAAAATAAAACAAAATGAAAACACAGTTAATTAATTTAGGGCCTGGCAAGAAGAAGGTAGTCTCCTCTGACTTTTAGAAAAGCAGTTCCTCCAAATAATCATTACAACATCATTGTTCACTAATATCTCCAAGTTTTATGTTTGTTTAACATTATCAAATAAGTAAGTTGTTCCTCATCTTATCCTTATTACATTTTCCATTGAATCACAGGGAAGACTTGAAGTTTGTCCCTGCTAGAGTATTTTACTGTTGGATTCAGTCCAAACTGTCAGCATATATCTCTTGGTACCTCAGATACTGTTAAATTCTCAATTTCTCCTTCCCAGTGCCTCTTGCAAATCATTATTCTTTCCATTCCTCAAACCACCATCCTGATTCAGACCCTCAATTGGTGGGTTTAGGTTATTCTAGTAATGTCCCAACAGGCCCCTGTTGGTTTACAACCTTGGGAGTTCCCCAAGTGAAATCTGAAACTGGACCCTGTATGTGGAAGGCAAGGAGAGACTGAGAAGGAGGCAGACCCTCTAGATTGGTAGGTGAAGGTTTAATAAGCAAGGGAACTTTACTTACAAGGCTTGTCTTGGGCAACACAATAGGAGTAGATTTCTGCACCCAACACACAGGATCTTAAAAGTTTCTATCGAGGCCTTGACAAGTTCAGTGACATATTCAGTCCAGATGGTCTTCAGGTCCATCCATGTTGTTGCAAATGGCATTATTTCATTCTTTTTAATGACTGAGTAGTATTCCATTGTATATGTGCACCACATCTTCTTTATCCATTCATCTGTCGATGGACATTTAGGTTGCTTCCATGTCTTGTCTAGTGTAAACAACGCTGCAGTGAACATTGGGATGCACTTATCCTTTCTAACCATGTTTTTCTCTGGATATATGCCCAAGAATGCGATTGCTGGACCATGTGACAACTCCATTTTTAGTTTTTTGAGGAGCCTCCATACTGTTCTCGATAGTGGCTGCACCAGTTTACATTCCCACCAACAATGTAGGAGGGTACCCTATTCTCCACACCCTCTGCAGCATTTGTTATTTATAGATTTTTCAATGATGGCCATTCTGACCAGTGTGAGGTGGTCTCTGTATTATTTCTTAAACTGCATGTAAATTTTACATTATCTAAAAGAAAAATTTTAATTAAAAATGTAATGTACACACACACACACACACACACACACACACACAAACACACAAAAGAAACCCCAAAATGTGAATTTCTTCATAGATTTTGTGAAAAGAAAAAAGAGCAGAATATTTATGCATCCCTCTAGGATCCTTTTTCTAGGTTTTTTCATTTCTATATTCACTGTGTGCCAGGAACTGTGCCATGTGAGAACAAATGGATATAATAAATGCCTTCATGGTATTCACAACCAACAATAAAAACAAGCACTAAAAAAGTAAACAAATAAGTAAGTAAACAAAATTTCTCTGTAGAGAAAAATAATGGAATTGTGAGGGATGGTTTATTTTGGATAGAGGATTTTTTAAAAAACCTCCCCAGGAAGCAACATTTTAGCCAAAATCTAGCATATGAAAGGAGACAAGGCACTCACAAAGGTGAGGAAGGGGAATGAGCCCTGAAAAATTATACCCCAAAGAGTAAAAGAGATCATTTCTTTCCAAGGAACTGAAACCCCAGTGGCTGAAGCATAATGAGCCTATAGGGGGGCCCAAAATGAAGTGGGGAGATGGGCAGGGGCCAGGTGGTGGTGCAGGAAAAAAATCTGGTCTTTACTTTTTCAATTATATTTCAATGTAGTGGGTGGGAATCTATGGAAAGTTTTTAAACAGGAGAATGAAACCTTCCACTTGGAGTACCATGAGTGACAGACTGAAAGCACTGGGACCAGTTCTGAGGCTATTGTAAAAGTCCAGGGAAGAAAAGAAGCTCCTTTGGACTAGAGTGGTGATAGTTTAAGTGATGAATAAGAGATGAATTTCAGATGTACTTTGAAGGAAGCATTGTCAGGATTGGTGACAGATGGGAGAAGGATAGTTAAAGACAGTTGTGAAGAATAACTCCTGGGGCTTCCCTGGTGGCGCAGTGGTTAAGAATCCGCCTGCCAATGCAGGGGACATGGGTTCAAGCCCTGGTCCAGGAACATCCCACATGCCATGGAGCAACTAGGCCCATGCACCACAACTACTGAGCATGCGCTCTAGAGCCTGCAAGCCACAACTACTGAGCTCACATGCCTCAACTACTACAGCCTGCTTGCCTAGAGTCTGTGCTCCACAAGAGAAGCCACCACAATGAGAAGCCCACGCACCACAACAAAGAGTAACCCCCACTTACCGCAACTAGAGAAAGCCCACGTGCAGCAGTGAAGACCCAACGCAGCCAAAAATA